TAAAAACATATTTCAACTTTAAGCAGAAGTTTTGAATAACAAGTTTAACAATATCAAAAAAGCAATTGTAAGTAATTTAACTAGTAATATTACAAGACAAATACAATTTAAATTTTATGCATATCCCTTATAATACAATTCTTACTATAATTAGTTTAGTTTATAGAAAATCAAATTTTATAAAATATCAATCATCTTATATCAAATAGTGCATAAAATTTTATAAAAAACTATAAAGTATTTATAAATATATATTATTACTAGCAGAACATGTGAGAATTCAAATAGTTTAATCTTCGATGTTGTAGCTCAACGAGAAACTTCTGAGGAATTTAAAATCACAAAAATGATCAAAATTTCCAATTTAGAACGCTAATATATTTATGAATAAGATCTATATAAGTAAACTTCTATTTAAAGACTGAGCACAAGATTTAGGTTTTTGTACCCAAACCCTACATCCAAGTCCACTAGAACTATTGATTCAATAGAGTCCCAAATCAATTTAATAAAATCTTGAACCATCCCAATAAAGTCTTAAATCGATCAATAAAGTACTGAACCAATCTAATAATATCATGAACTAGTTTAATTAAGCCTAAGCCAACCAACTAAAGGCCTAAATATTCTAAATAAGCCTTGAACAAATTAGTAAAATCTGAACAGCTCAATAAAGTCTTGAATTGGTCTAAATAAGTCTTAAACCAATTAGTAAAGTTTTTAACTAGCCCATTAAAGCCATAAATTGGCCTAATTAAGCAAATAAACCGTTATTAAAATATTAAAACAGTCTAATAAAGCCATGAACCAGCCTAATAAAGCCCTGAACTTGTTAATGAAGTCTTGAACCAATCGATTAAAACTTTGAATTGATCCAATAAAACCTTGAACCAACCTGATTAAATGTTGAACCATTTAACAAGGTGCTAAACTAGTCCAATAAAACTATGAACCAGCTTAATAAAGCCTTGAACTAGTTATTAAGGTACTGAACCTGTCAAATAAAATGATGAATTGACTTAATAAAGTTCTAAACCAATTAATAAATTATTGAACTGGTCTAAATAAGTCAATAACTGGTTTAAATCTAATCTTGAAAACCAAATCAATTTACAACCTAGATCCGATCCAACCACCCGATCCAAATCCTGCCAAATCTAAACCCAGACTTGGTTCAGCATCCATACCCATACTTAGTTCACTTGAGATCTAGAGTTTGGATCCAAATCCAGTAACCCAATCCAACACAGATCAGGCCCAATCCAAAAGCCCAGCTCAGCCTAATCTAGCCCAAGCCCAACTTGACCTAGTCTAGTCCAAAGTCCCAAAAACCAGAGCCCATGGAGTCGGTTCAGGGAGCTGGATCTTGTGCAAATCCAAGTCTCCACTTAGGTCTTCTTCTTTACTTAGAAATCCCCCAACCCAAAAATCACCAAGTATTTAGTCAATTTACCTTGTGATACTCTAGTAGCGTGGTGAGCAGGTTTCGATGACTGGTAAGCACCTAGTTGGTTGCACTAATGTGGTTGGAGGAGGGTAGCTTCTAGCCACTTTGTAGCTGCACGACTGCGACTGTAATGGTGATTCGATTGGCTTTTAATCGGCGATTAAGGGTGATGAGAGACCAAATTAATTTAGTGCTTAGCATCCTCTATATGGTTGGGCATTTTGATATCCAAAATCAAGTTGGTTTACCTCCAAATTCTTTGTAATTGGCATCAATGGCCGCGCAAGATATGGAGGTTGATGATGATGGAAATCTGGGTTTGATTAGTTGCGATGTGGTCCCTCAAGTTCTTGATTATATGCATTTTAGTCCTTGACAAATTTCTACTTATTTTGTTTGGTCCCTCAAAATTTCAAATTATTCAATTGAGTCCCTATATTTTTGTTTCTTCTAATTAGGCCACTTAATTTCAACTTCTTCTTATTAGGCCCCTAAATCCAGGTATTACATGATGCTGATCTTCAAACAAAATATCCAAGATCTTTATCACATATATATATTTTTTGGGTGAAACCAATGGTATTTTATACTAATTTTGATTTGAGACTATTCTTTTCATATGAAGAATATGAAAAGTTAAAATCTTCTCCAATAAATACTTTTTTAAGAATTGAATTTTTATTCTTACTCTTATTATAATTTATCACTTTAACCAACAATTGTTTATATCTCATCATAAACTTTCGTACTCAAGGTCCAATGACGAGCTCTACAAGCAATAAGTGAACGTGAACTGTGCTATATTTAGTCAATTATTTCTTAAAGTGGTTCTTAATTTAGGTTCAAATCTAGCACAAATAGTTTACATATACCTAGATAAATTATTTAGAAAGAGATGGTATTTTTAATTATATAAATTTAATATTTAAAACTCAATGCATATAAATATTTTAAAATTATATTAGCATTATATATTTTAATTTTTAAAATTTAAAAAATTCAACATTTAACTATTTTAAATATGTTAAGCATTTAAAGTTCAATTTTATCAAATGAAGTCTAGTCATGATCTTTTTTTAAAAATTTATATATTTAATTCACTTATTTTACGAAATAGTGCTACTTAGAGTATGTTTAATAATATGAATTGAAGATTAAAATTGAACAGTAAAATATTTTAAAATTAAATATATTTAATAATGTTTACTATTTAATTATCTAATTTTAAAAATTAAAAATAAATACAATATGTTTATTAATATTAAAATTACTTCAAGATAGATAATTTTTATTTTTTTATAAAATTATTATGCATATTTTAAACTTCGACGTGGGGATTTTTTGCTTTCGTACTTTAATACGAGTGCACAGGCAATCACCTTTTGTGCGCGCTTTTGTGTTAATATTACATAATCTTGTTTTGGAAAAAATAAAATAAAATAGGTTTTGGCGCCCCCCCCCCCCTCCCCCCGCTCTCTCTCTCTCTCTCTCTCTCTCACCCAATAAGGGGGTCTCTGTCTGTGAAGAGCAGGCGTGGAAGAGAAATCTTACAGAAAGTGAAAGTGACGAGCCTTCTTATACAAGTAAGTGGGTAGTTTCATAACTGTTATTTATGGTTTGATTTGTATTATTTTCTATCTTTTTTGATCTTTTTCTTTTTCTTCCAATCGTCGCCATTGAAGGACTTTAGCAACCTAGATTGTTAATCGCAAGTCCTTATCCCTCTCGGTCATTTTGATTTTGAGGTATCTTTTAGTTCATGCTTTTTTCTTTTTTCAGATACAACCGTAATTTTAATGTCTGGGTAGGTTCAATTACATTCTGAATTCAAGTCTGATATCTGCTTCCTACCAGTTCCTTTTGCCGCTCTCTCTGCAACATTACAACTTCCGTCACGTTCGCACAACGTGTCTCCAACTTCCAAGATCGGCCTGTCAACATAAGTCTTTTCGCCTTCCAAGATCGTTGTGCCAAAATCAGGTACGTTCTGTTTGGTTTGACCTATTTTTATTTATTCTCAAATTTCATAAAAAATATATATTTTGCTTATATCTGGAATACAGAATACAAATCTTTTTGTGCTTGAATGGTATTGAAGAAAAGGAGCTATTTGCTCCTCTTTGAAAAAATGTCGAAGTGTTAACTGAAGATCCCATTTCTTGAAATCTACCGATTTGAGTAATTTCTTTTGTTGCTTGGACTGAACGAGTTTGATAGGGGTTCTCATTTTTTATAACAGATATCTAGATCTGATAATTTGATAGAGGGTTTTCATTGTTATAACAGATTTCTAGATCTGATAATTTGTCAACATTTTAAGGTCACGAGACCGTATGCTATTGAAACGAAGTTATATGTTATTTTTCTTGCTTGTCTATGCTTTTTATTCTTGTATGGGACATGATAAATGTTGACATATAGCTTCACATTATAAAATTGATTATGGTAGAGACAGTTCAGGTAATGTTTAGGCTTTCCTTCCCCACCGTAGAGGGATAACTATTTATTTTCTAAAGAAATCTGTACTTCTGTATGAATTCGGTTATTATATATCATCTCTCTGATTTATTAAAGCTTCCTATTTGCCTGAGCGAGTGAGGAGCATTTCCCTATTGCATATCAGTTCAATCTTCATGTCACTAGTGATGCCAATGAGATGAAAAAGTCAGTTTTAGCTGAGGTTTCTTATGTGTGGTTAAAATTATTAAAGAAATGAAGATTGGGAAGAAAGCTTTCTTAACCATTGCCCATGTAACTTAATGAGATGAGAAAGGAGAGGATAGAGGGAAATAAGAATGTCACAGAGAGAGAGCGAGAGAGAAAGTAAAACAGAAAGAAATACCAATAGGGTATTTCCAAAATTCAAATATGCTTACAAATCTCTAAAGTTCCATACAAAAAAATACTTGTAATTGTATACACTAAGAAATTCCTAAAATTAACTAGTTCCTAAAAATTATTTGATTTGCATCAATGTTGTTATCAACATAGCCTCCATCTTTTAAGGTCATGCCTTGGCATATTGGTAAAATTTCTCCATTTATGACTTGGTTGTCACGGGATCTAATCATGGAACAGCCCTCTCTAGGTGCAGGATAAGACTGACCCTGAAGATGTGGGAGCTTTGTTCACTGGGCCCCCTTTCATTCCTCTAATTTTGGCACCATAATGACTTTCTTTTCAATTATCAGCATCTTAAGTATCTCTAATTGATGTCATGTCTATATTACAATAACATGGCATTCTATTTGAATTTGATATTTTGAAGAAATATTCAGGCTGCAATGGCATTATTTCATTTATAGTGACAGATGGAAAGCTATATTTTCATTGCCATTGTAGATTTTTATCTTTGTTTCCATTATTCTTTATATAGTTGTCTTTACTATTTCATTTTATTAGAATTTTTATTCTGGAAATATTTTTACCTACAGTTCAAAATTATACAACCTTTCTTGTGTTAGAATATAGTTGTTGCTCGTGCAACGTTGTTTCTTCTCAGTCCTTTCTTTTTTTATTTGACAATATTTCCTTCCATGTGCATATGACAGAGATGTATGAAAATTCAGGAGCCCAGCAGGGGATGCCCCAACAACCAACAAACCTGCAGTCTAATCCATTTGGCAATGCATTTTATGGTGCCAGCTCTGGGCTTATACGGGGTGGACTGGGTGCATATGGTGAGAAAATTCTGGGGTCAGGTTCAGAGTATGTCCAGAGCAATGTAAGTAGCAAGATGAATTAGCTACATAAACAAACCCAGTTAGTTATTTTGGGCAAAGGTATATGTCAGTTACTGGATGCAACATTGATAAGTATACGAGATTTCTTGTGCGTTCTTTGCCAAATGGACTAAACCTATGTTGTTGCCTTCACTAAAGAGTTAAGAAGAGGGAAAGCTCTCTGGTCTCATACATTATGGCCAACAAAGCAGCAAAAATCTTCATGCGTGATGCTTTCTAAAAGAATGAATTCCGGCCTAGAACGAAACATAAATAGGAAGCAATGATCCTGTGAAGCTAAGCTAATTTATAATGCATGTATTGCTGATACTCTTGTACATGACTTGGTGGTTAAGCTAAAAAGGCTGTTAGTCAGCAGGAAGGTGGGGATATTAGAAATGAAGCTTGATAATTTTCTAATAGGCCCATATGGCATAGTACACTTTTTCTGTGTGTCCTTTTTTGTGCTCCTTGATATACTTTTTAATTTCATACATGTTTATTTTGATTCTGTTGCAGGCTGGCTCATATGAAATGTGAGTTCTTGAAAAATATTAGTTATTTATCTATAGCAAGCTAAGAGCAGATGGTCTGCCATTGAAAAATTGCATTGAAGTTTGCCTTAAGATATCTTAAACCAGTTTATCCTACTGTCTAGTATTTAGGAGCAATATTATACACTTTTCCTTTTTGAAACTATAACATAAAATCTGCTCATTGAGGAATTCTATGATATATGCTCAATTGAAGCTGTGTATTTTGTGTATTGTGATGGAGTATGTTGCTGGATGAAAGTTCTATTCCATATAGCTTTAGAGGCAGAGGTTGAGCCTTTAGGGGGGAAGAGGGAGCCATGGTAGGCTAAGAAGTTTTTAAATTTTGAATTATTCCTTAGGTAATTACTTTATGGCCAAAAAAAAAAAAAATTGCAAATTTTCATCTACACCTGCAGAAAGTTAGTTTGTCACCCCCTAAAAGTTTTCAATTTTTCGTGAGCCCCATAAAAAATTAAGTTATCCCTTCTTTTTGCATATAAGCAATCATTTTTCTTTTGCTTATTTTATATATAGGATTAATGGCTTTTGAAAACCAAAGGAGTTTTATTCAATTACTTGTTTTTCCCTCTAAATCTTGGTATATAGAGCTAAGATTTGTTTGTTACTTTTTTCATATTCATTGCAAAATGAGTGCAAAAATCAGTATAGTGGGTTGTATAATTATTCTTATAAATATTTTGGGGATTAACTTTAGATTATGATTATATTTGGCTAGCTATATACATATTATGTGTATTTGTCTCTCATTATTGTTGTTCATTTTTTGTTACTCTCTCTCTCTCTCTCTCTTCCCCCCCCCCTCTCCCTCTCTCTCTCTCTCTCTCCCCCCCCCCCCTCTCCCTCTCTCTCTCTCCCTTTCTCATCATAACATTACTACTACATAATAGGAATACTTATTGGTTCTTCTGAAGAGTCGTTGCAAGCTCCATCCCTGTTCAGAGGATTTCTTTGCTGTCTATAAAATTTTTGCTTAAGTGATCTCTTGGAGTAATTTTACATCAATTAAATGAATGTGTTTTGACTGGGAAAAGGTTCCAATGAAAGCCATTGTGGTCTTTACCGAGAATATGAAATCTTTTATTAGCTCATGGTGATGCAAAATATTTCAAGCATGGAATTCTTATATTTCCTAACTATTTGGCTTCAAAGTGTTTTATAATTTCATTTGTTACTTGTCTGGAATGAACAGATATCCAGGTACTTCTCCGATCCTCAGTATTATTTCCAAGTCAATGACCACTATGTCAGGAACAAATTAAAGGTTGTTTTGTTCCCATTCCTACACAGGGTAAGCCTTCAGTTTTCCTTTGTTATTTTTTGATTGATCTGACTTCTTCCTTGTAGTTACATTTAATTTTCTTCCTCAAGGGTCACTGGACAAGGATAACTGAACCTGTAGGGGGAAGGCTCTCCTACAAACCCCCTATCTATGATATAAATGCACCAGACTTGTACATTCCTTTCATGGTGTTTGGTACATATGTTGTGCTTGCTGGCTTATCCCTCGGTCTTCATGGAAAGTAAGAATTTCATAATCGAGCTTCTATATTTTTCAATTAATTTAATTATCCCGCTGTGCTGCATGATATGTAAATCTGTAACTGATCTTTTTGTCAGTATTAAAGCAATAATTACTCCATTCTCTAGCGACTTCGATTCTTTTTGCATCAGGTTGGATATGATATGGAAATGTGAAAGTGACTTTTTTATTTTCTTAAGACAGATCACAAGGGTGATACATGGCAAGAGTATATACTTTCCCATATTTATGACATAAATTACAAACTAGTCAGTTAATCATGCCACCTTCAAAATTATAAGAAAGTAATGATTTGGTATTTTTGAAAGTTTGTTTTTGAAAGTTGGCCTGTTCTTCATAAAAATTTTGATACTGAGTCTTTGGCAAGTCTTGAAAGTATCCCATATTTAGATACACATCTTCTTGAGTGTGCTGACTTCTAAGCGTATCAAATGGGAAATAGTAATGGAAAATGGAATGTGCATGGATGCTTGTTTGACATGGTTCTATGTATATCCTGCATGTCTGATATATGTCAGCCCTAGCACAAGCAAGTGTAGCAGCACTGTACACATCTCTTTCCCTCTCTCTCTTTTTTTTTTTTTTTTTTTTGAGTGGGTTAAACTAAAGAAAGAGCAAATCACACTATGATATAACTGGTTTCAGTGTCTATAGCCTTCAGTATTTTGTCATCATGAACTCACTAAATAAATTACAACATTGTTTAATGCAAATATGACATGATATTCGGATACTAAAATACTTAAAACATGTGAAAAGTAGTAAAAGAGTACATATGGCTAAGCTATGTTTTTGAATGAGTCATATTTCATTAATTATTTTTCTATTCATCATTTTATGGAGTCATTTTTAGCAGATTGTTTTGTCATAGGATACCCGGTCTCTGAACCTCTAATTTTTGTTCACATATAATTACATTATTATCTCGGTTTACCTGAAATCGTGTTTCTCAGGCCAAAAGGATTGATGACTTGTATGTTAATGGTGGTTTATGAGAGAATATTTATTTGTTTGTATGTTTCCAAAAGTGACTGCTGTTGTGGAGAATGCATGTTGTTCTTGCAAGTTGTGAATGTTGTGAAGAGAGTTTAAGTGTGCGTACGTTAGGAGAAATTATTTTTGTATATGATGACCTATGTCCATTTTATACAAATATGTTGAAGACTGATGTCAAAAATATTCACAAGTGGAGAATAATGTAATTCATAGATGAGTTCTATGCTGCATTTGGTTCTTATTTGGTGCTGTCCCTTTTCTGCTAACTCGTACATTTAAGTGCTATGAAATCACTATGCTCTGCATCTTAAATAAATTTAGAGTAAAAAGAAACACTGCTCTAGAGAAAAACACTCTGGAAAAGAGCGCTCAAGTTTGTCTTGGAGGGACCAAGCAGCTACTAATTGGTTGAGAGGGATGTCTTTAGGATCCATATTGAAACTTACCCTCCTTCCTTTTGTGATAAGTCTGCAATTCTCTATCTCCACAGATTCCCTGTTTCCATCTCAGAATGTCTGTCTCCCAAGCTCATACAAACAAGATTCAGTAATTGCCATGTCTCTGACATTTTATTTATTTATTTATTGCCAGGTTTAGCCCTGAAGCTCTGAACTGGCTGTTTATGAAGGGGCTTGTTGGCTGGTGTTTGCAGTTTTTGCTGTTGAAAATGTCTTTGCTTACACTTGGCAGTGGGGAGGCACCTTTCTTGGATATTGTTGCATATGCGGGGTATACTTTCACAGGGATGTGTTTGGCTGTCCTTGGGAGGATAATCTGGAGTTATTCCTATTACTTTTTGATGCCGTGGACATGTTTGTGCATGGGAATCTTCTTGATAAAGACAATGAAGAGGGTTCTCTTTACGGAGGTGAGAGGTCACGATTCGAGCAAGCAGCATTATCTCTTGCTCTTGATTGCTTTGGCCCAGTTCCCACTTTTTGTTTGGCTTGGCAATATTGGTGTTCATTGGCTTTTTTAGACAACACTTCTTTGTCATGTAGTTAGCAACAAGAGCTTGCACTTTGAAGTCTTGCAAGCAACCTAGCCATTTTATGGAATTCATTCTGTCATTTGGCGTAGGTATTGGTATTACCATTTATGGTGAATGCTGCATTTTTTCATCAATTCAACTATTAATAGGTAATTAACCATTAGTGATGCCTAAATTGTTGGGTTAGGGAAAACATATGAAAAAGAGAAGGAAGCTTGGTGCACTGGACTCCTCAATCTACAGGTTTGAGGCGTGTGCAATTTGACCCATGTGCTTGGGGAAGTTGTATCCATGGTTCAAAATAAAAATATACTGATTTTAGGTTTTGGGTAAGTATTGCCAATTTGAAAAATAAATGCGTGGATTTTAGAGGAAGAATTTATATTCTATTGTTATTTTTATTCATTGTAAGCTACATTATTATGGGTCAAAGAAAAATAAAGCTACGTCATTCTACTTAGGGATGAGAATACCATTTTATAAGGCATTTTACCTAGCAGCATAAAAATGGGAGATTCTCGGCAAAGCTAATAACCCGTCTGATGCTCCTCTGTGCCCTCTGTGACACAAGCGACAGGCATTTGGTTTGGTGGGCATGTGAGGCATTTCTGTTGAAACCGCCTCTGATGTTTGCTGCTCTTGTGACAAACTAAGGTGGTGGTGGTAGACTCCCCACTTTCCACTTCCCACCAGGAGGTTGTGATCCAAGAATAAATTTTTCCACGATGTCCTGAACTTCTGCACATACGCCTCTGGAATCTGGGCAGTGAACTGGTTCTTCCCGAGGGCTCGCAGCTGTTAGGGTTCCATTTGACTAAAAATCACGGGCAAACTTTGGCCCAGAGACTGTTATGTGGGAGTGAGAGTGATTCTGGACTGGAAGGGGAGAGAACCAGAGGCAAATAAAGCAATAAATACAGCTCATTATTCTTTTTATTTTCAAATCAAAGCTGAAACATTCAATGCATCAATCTGACCATGGCCAATTTTAAGGCCTACTTGAATTGGAAACAAAAATAAAAATCATAAAATGAATAGAAGGGTAAAAAAAAAAAAAAAAGATTTTGAGGACAAATTAAATAATTTAAATCTACTTTCACCGAATTTACTTATTTGAAACTACTTTTTCTAAAAATTCATATTTTCTACACCTACTTTCTATCAAAAGTTGTACAAGATTGCTTTGAGCATTAAGAATATTCTATGAGACTTAGAAATTTTTCTCACGTGAAGAATTTTATTTATCAATAATTTTATTCTGGATAAAATTTATACGTACCATTTACTCATCCTAGTGTAAAACCAAACTAATTAATTAACTTATATTAAACTAATCTAAATTTTAAAATTTGATTTAGTTTTTGATTAATTTCCAATATGTTAGTTTGGATCAAAAAATTATTTAAATTTATAAATTCGTTTGGTTTAGAATTAAAAACAAAAAACCATTCTGACGCATAAATCAAAATTTTAAATAAATTTGTCTTAACAAAAAAAATAATAAATTAAATAAATTTTTATTTAATAATTATTACATGATAATAAATCAGAACAAAACAAACCAAATTTAACTGAAATTTGAGTTTGGTTTTATTTAATATGTGATTAATTTAATTTGATTTAAATTTTAAAACATCTAAAAAAAATAAAAATTTAACTATCAAAAACCACACCAAATTTTTAGGGGTTAAAAGTATAAAAACCCCTTATATATTTTATATATTGCACAAAACTCCTATGTGATATGAAAATTGTACAAAATTTCCTTATATTTTAAACTTGAAAGTATAAAACCCTTATATTTTCTTTAAATTGAACAAAATTCTCATGTGATATGAAAATTACATAAAATCTCTTATGTTTAATTTAAAACATCAAATCTCTCCCTGTTTTCTTTAAGTTGCATAAAACTCCCATGTTATATAAAGATTACTTGATTTTGATTACTTTGATAAAACAATCATTATAAAAAAATATTATTGAAAAGCCATAATACCTCTAATATTTTAGTTAATTTGCATAAAATTTTTTCATTATATGAGAATTAAAATAAAATATGTTATATTTTAATAATTATCCACTATTTTCCATAATTAATTGTATTTAATTGTTATAATCAAATTAAAGATTTAATTAGAAAATATAAAAGATAGTGAGATGAATATATAAAAACAAAAAAGACTCTGGAGACCAAAATAAATAAAATTGCATTAAGTTTTATTTGATTTTTTTTTACCTTTTTTATTTTTTAAAAAACTTGTAGAATTCTTAGTTTGGTTTTGGTTGTTTATTTATAACTATTATGAAGAAATATAATTGAACAATTTTTAAGAAAAATAAATTACACTTAACAAAACTAAAAGAAAAATAAAAAATAATAAAATAGATGTTTAATTATCGATAATAGGAATTGACTTTATTGTAGAAAAAATAAATTATATTATGAAAGATAACATTTTTAATCAAATGATTATTTTAAATTTTTAACTAAATTATAGGAAATTAAAATTCACAGTTAATTTCACTTAAAACAAGTGGATAATTATTGAAATATAACATATTTTATTTTAATTCTCATATCATGAAAGAATTTTATGCAAATTAACTAAAATATTAGAGGTATTATGATTTTTCAATAATATTTTTCATAATGATTGTTTGTTTCATCAAACTAATCAAAATCAAGCAATTTTCATATAATAGAGAATTTTGTACAACTTTAAAAAAAAACACAAGGGGTTTTATACTTTTAAATTTAAAATGTAACGAATTTTGTATAATTTTCATTTTACAGGGGAATTTTGTACAACTTAAAAAAAGTACAAGAGGTTTTATGTTTTTAAGTTTAAAATAGAAAGAAATTTTGTATAATTTTCATATTACAATAGAGTTTTATGTAATTTAAAAAAAATACAGGGCTTTTATGCTTTTAACCCAATTTTTAGTTTGCACACTTCTACTCCAACATCCTTTTAGTTACCAGGAACTTTACATTTGTTGTTTTAGTAATTTGGCAGGTCAATTTATTTACTAGAAATTTTAGATTTGCTATCTTGTTAATACCTACTAGGTGGAGCTATTAGGCACTCGATGAGGCCACTTGACACGTCATTTTATGAAATTTGGCCTGGCGTGGTCGGCATCTTGGCATGGATACTCGGAGGCCTGGCACTCCCCATGTTTAAGTCATTGAGCGTTGAAATTAGTAGCTATGAAGTTGATATGAACAGTGCTAGAATAAATGATTTTTGAATTTGTTATCTTCTTATTATAGAGTTTTAATTTAATAAAGATATAAAGTATTTAATTAAGAGAAATTGTAGTACTTTATCTTTGTCACTACTCTATCTCCGGAGTCATGACTGGCGCCAAGTATGACAACCTATCCTTGGTAAGTCTTAAAGATGGATTGAAAAATTTGACCAAGTGGAGGAATGTTATAGAAATTCTGACAAAATCTCTCCTAAAAACTGAATATTTGCCAAAATTTCTAACTTGTCTCAAAGGTAGTTGCTTTCAACGGGAGATCATCATGCAATTTATATATCAAGTAATAATAATTTCAAGACATAATATTGCTCATAATATAAAGCAAGCTATTAAGCAGCATTCAAGCTTTTGGACAATGGAAATTGATTTACATACAAACATTTTTGTTTCCTCAAAAACAAAAGAAAAATATACAGTTCTGAATGACAAGATACTTTATCCGTGGCAAATTTGGAGCATGCTAAACATATTAAGTTCCAAAAAGTACATATGAAACAGGCTCATAGTACCAAGCTTAAAAGACTACACCCACATTCAAGCAAGAGTGTATAGGATTCACTAAAAGGATAGACTACTTCCTCAAAAAATAGGACTAGCATTGGGATCAATGCTAGAATTTGAGGAGGAAAAACTAAAAAAGTGAGACCGAAACTCAGTGAGTAATAATATATATAACCAAGTTTGAGAAATATCAAGAAAACATCAGTATCAGACAGTTTATCAACAATTTCATTTGTAATAGTGTAAGTTATCAATATCACAAAACTATATAAGTAACACAATTATCCAAAGCAAGAAATAATCCACTAGGGCACTATAGGTGGGAATCGCAAATGGAAATAAGACCACTATTCCTGCTTACCATTATCCTTGTCTATCACTGTTCCTACTTACTGCCATCCTTACATATTCTCTAGTAATAAGGACTCGGGATCTCGAGACTTAATAAAAACTTAATCATCATCATTATTTCACTAAATTGCTTGTCACAATCAAACATAATAGTACACACACACACACACACACACACACACACACACACACACACATATATATATTCATACATGTTCTCATCCTAATAGTGCAAAGACAGAAATGCATAACACACCAATATAACACATACAAATTCATGAATTTTGTAAAAAAGGCAAGGAAGCACATATTATCACTCACAATAATGCTGATGTTAGTCAAAATTAAGGTGTTGTGCAGTCTTGAGTATCAATATGTGAATCTTCTAGGGGGCCCAACACTCTTGTGTAGGGATTGTAATTAAAAATTGTTGTTTGAGGAGTTGAACAGTTGGCTGTTTCCAAACTGTTTAACCGATAGCAGATAGTAGACCCCTATGCAGCTGTCTAAGGCGCATGATTTCCTAGTGCTTCAGAATGATTGAAGCTAGTAAGGGATAGTTGACGGTCTTTGTAGCTCTGTTCGATTTGAAAGCACCAAGAAATAGCCCCCTCGTGAGGCTACCAGTAAACGGAGAGAGAAAGAGAGAGAGAGAAGAGGAAAGGACTTACCAAAGTCAAGGTTTCCCTCAGGATAAGCAACCCAGGGTAGGTTGATCGGATTGGCCTTTACCCATTAGTGGTGAGTAGATGAGAAAGGGGGCAAATGATTGTGCAGGTTGTTAGCGGGGGAAATAGGGGAATAGAGAGAGAGAAAGAGAGAGAAAAGAGAGAGAGAGAGAGAGAGAAAGACTCTACTGGCTAGAGTTGGGGGTCAAGGGTGACTTGGCACCGGTGGGAGAACAACTAGGACTTTCTTGCAACGACGAAAAGCTTGAATGATCAAGCTTCTAGAGGGTTCGGCCTCTTATTGTACAAATGGGGAAGAAGGAGGAGGAGGGAGATATCGGTTTAGTTGAGTGATTTGGTGGCGGCAGTGAGGTAGTCAATTGGTGTTAGAGCGAGCATGCGCGAGGTGTGGGGGGAAGAGAAAAGAGAGGAGAAAGAAATAAATGGAAGGGAGGGGAAAAAAGCCATTGTGGGGGGGGGGGAGGAAAAAGGATTTGGAACATAACTCTCTCTCTCTCTCTCTCTCTCTCTCAGGTGCTACAATTTTATATAAATTTTTGAGTTTGACATGATATAATATATAAAAAGGTAAAAAAGTATTTTTTAAAAAAATTTACTTAAATAACACTTAATACTATTTTTATAAAGAAAAAATAATTTTTCATTTTGACTAACTGTTAACTACGGTTGCTTAATAATTTTGTTAAAAAAGAGATGAGTGTAACTCCATTTCACTTACTTAGACTATCTATTTGATTAAAAATTAATATATAATTTATTTTACTTAGAAAATTTAAATTTTTAATTTAAAATTTTAAAAAATAAAAAATCTAACCTTTTGATTAGGGTTGTGCAAATCATAA